TAATTTAGAATTTTGTTTTCTTAAGTCGAATATGAATAGTTGTTTGTCCTTATTCAGGGTTGCTACGGTATAGGTCAAATCAAACACTAGGTACAACTCAAAAATCTTTCATTATTTATTCCAACAAAATAACAAAGCTAAGTCTTAATTCAGTAAGCTGGTCAGCATGTTTCTCTGAGGTTCATCTTCTCTGCCTTTCTACTTCACAAGTCATTAAGCTGTAGAGGAATATATGTAGGATAAAAAAGAAAACTATCAGTCATTAGCCAGCTCTGAATAGGTGAATCTAACAGCTTGTTTCCCAGAGAGTAGTAGTAGAAAGCAGCAGCAGCATATATGGAGACTTACATGTATATCCCGATAAAGAGGATAGTGGAAGGCCCGAGATGGCTCAGTGGAATCACTTGCTGTAAAAGCAAGCGGACCTGAGTTCAAATCTCCCCAAACCTATGTAAAAGGTAAGGTTGCTTTCTGTTTCTCTAACCTTAGTGCTGTAAAGCAGAGTTGGGCAGTTCTTAAGAGCACAGCCAGTGTAAGTATGCTTCAAATAAACTGGGGTACAGTACAGGAATACACCAAATGTCCTCTGCTTGACTCCATTCATGTGTGAAGGAGCACACACACACACACACACACACACACGCTTACATCACAACCATACACACATAACATAACCAATGTTTTTAAAACATAGCAGAATGCCCATACTATTAGGAAGCACTAATTACAAGTGTATGAATTTCAAAGGCTATATACTTTCTTATAGTCCACCCCACCCCAACATGATCTTGACTCGTATTCATTAATCATCAGTTAAGAAAAAGCCTTATAGATTTGCCTACATCAAATCTGGATGGAGCCATTTTCCAAATTAAGATTCTACTTGCAAATATTTGTGTCAGGATACAAAACCAAACAGCACATCAGGATCTTGTGTCCCATGGTAAAGAATTAGACCAGGGGCCTATGGTAACAAATAGGAGTAGGGGCAGTTTATCAAGACAGCAAGAATGGAGGTGGGTTAGCAAGCTGAGAGTAAAGCCCCCAAAGCCCTGTATCATGTCTAGAAACCGTCACCAGGTTGTAATAGGATATTTAGGACAACTTGAATTTGTGTTCCCACATCATGCTCCTTCATATCTGGCTTCAGAAAGAAAACTATCTCATATTTCCTTATTTCCATAAATAAAAGAAGAAATAAATTCAAAGGCTATGTTTGAATTTAAGGACAGGTTATTTTATTTAGTAAAAGATAAATCTTTTCTAAGTAGTTCTTTTCTGACAGAAATCCTTAGGTGACATTGTTTCTTATGCATTCAAATATCTATTGTTTGGTCAAATATATGATTAAAGCAGGTTGTACTTTTAAGTTTGGCACATGCTTATAAGAGTATGCATTTCCTATTCTCTAATATACATATTTTCTAAGATAGTATCTAATGGAATCTCTGGTGTGTTCATATGTGTGTGTGATACACTTCTTACAAGTTATTTATGAATAGAATTGGAAGCATATTAATCTCATAAAAATTATACTTACTTTCTCAAAGCAATTATTTGTAAATTAGAATATCTATACCTAGATAATACACCTATAGATAGGGAAGTAGAGAGATGCTGTTATCCGAAAACATGTCTGTGTATCAATTTATTTATTTTCATATATAATGATTAAGATTTGAAGTTTTGTGGTAATAGTACATGTGGGTCCAATGAATTAGTGACATTGTTATTATTCTAGGTCAAAACACTAAGCATTAGGTTTATTGATTTATAATCCTAATGTAGATTATTTTTAAACAATGTGCATACAGCTAAATGAAGCCACAGATTTCAGCTAGAGATAAAGTACATTACGAATGCAGTACATACCCCAATGTTTTACAAATAGTTGACAATTAATAGCCTTTTGCTAGCATGGATATATTTTTAAAAAGAAAAATAAATTTGAGATATAAAAGCTGGTAGGTCAGGCACCTTTCTAGTAGAGCTAAACGATCGAATGTCTACGGAAGCCTCGAAGACCAATGGGATGACAAAGGAGGAGAAGCTGGCCAGAATTCTAATGAGGTTGGAGGTCTGCTGGTTCACTCCCATTACTCGCTACACCACAGCTCATATGACTTGTTTTAGAGAGTTCACAAAGTGTAAGACAATAACACAAAATCTGTGATTTTTATGCCTTGCTGCTTTCTATTTTATGCCGTAACCTTGTGGTGGTGATAAAGTACAGAGTAAGTAAGTTTTAGAAATTTTTTTTTCTCACCAACTGTGTGCTGGCTTGGTGGTCAAATGTTAATAATAGTCAACTAGATTATTTTTCCTTCCAGAAAGAACTGTGAAGAAAGGAGGCTGCATAAATAGTGGGCTGCAGGAGCATCTTCTCTGTAAAGTGAGCTTCTTAAAAACAGTGCATTGAAACGTGTTTCATCAAAACTGATGCTGCCTAACGGAGAGAAAGGAAAGTCTCTCTACAGCATCCCAGTGTTTCTTAAAAGAAAATAAGAGCACAACTTCCATCCCTCTGATTCCTACTCCTCTGCCGCTTCCTCCTCCTTTTACATGTTTTATATTTTCATTCATGTATGTGAAGTATCATCTCTGGGTTCCCAGGATGGTCTTGACTCTGTATATCCAAGAAAGACCCTGAACTCTGGATATTCTGCTCTTCATGTCTTCATTACTATCCCCTTGCCCCCATTATTATCACTATCCCCCTCCAAATCCCCCCTCTCTCTCTCTCGCACACACACACACACACACACACACACACACACACACACCCCTTCTGGTTGTACTCTGCTACATGCAGAGCATCATAGCAAGGGCCTTGTGTGTGCAGGGCAAGCCTTCCACCAGCTGAATTTTACTCACAACCCATTATCAATCCAGTTTCAAAGGCCTAATTTTATTTTCTTTTTGAGAAGGGGACTAGAAGGAGTACTTCAGTCATACTAAAAGAAGTCACTCTTACCTATTTACAGGAGAAAGATAGAAATTCTAAGGTGAAAATCAAGTACCAGAGAATCTCCCGGGTGCAAGTGAGTGAAATCCCTGTCCAGCCAGGTACTAGAAGCCAACTGGAATGTTTCTCACAATAATAAATAGGTAAAGGCTCTCTCTAGTCTTTGTGTGTCAAGTAGCTGGTTCAAATCTGCTGGTTGCTCATCACTCTCTGACATTCAAGTCACAAGACAAGGGTGGCTATGTTCTGTCAGCTAACCTGGGTCCAAAGGGGCGTGCAGAGACTGAAGTCCCAACCATGGAGCCTGCATGGGCCTGACCTAATCCTCTGTGCATATGTTACAAATTGTGCGGTTTGGTATCCTTGTGGGATTCCTAACAGTGGGAGCAGGAGCTGACTCTGATTCTGTTGCCTGCCTTTGGGAACTTTTCTCCCTACTGGATTGCAATGATAGATGAACAAAATATGTTAATAAGTAAGTGAAAAGAAAATGATTAGAATTACTTTTAATAAAACATGAAATTAAAGATGTATGTGTGTTAAGCTCAGAATTTATATAACAGTTATAGAGACTATATAGGAGCCGTCAATTTCTTCATAGAATCCTTGGCCTTGTTATTTTATTTTCTCAAATATATTCACTATATTAAGTTCAATATGCTTCATAAGAATTTTAGAACTATGGTTTAGAGCATGTGGCTCAAAAATTTATATATAACTTTCATATTCTAAAGGTTAAAATTTAAATAAACCCTATCATTAGTCAATTATTCTCTTATAAGAAGCTGAGGAGGAGGGTGACCCCATAGGAAGACAAGTAGTCTCAACTAATCTGAACCCCTGAGACCTCAGACACTGAGCCACCAACCAGGCAGCTTAAACCAGCCTATATGAGGCCCCTAACACAGAGACAGTAGAGAACCACCTGGTCTGGCCTTAGTGAGAGAAGATGTACCTAACCCTCAAGAAACTTGAGGACCCAGGGAGTGGGGAGGTCTGGCGGGGTGGGATTAGAGGGGTCAGGTATATCCTCTTGGGGATGGGGAAGGAGGGATGGGATAAGGAACAATCAGAGGGTAGACCAGGAGGGGGATAATGACTGGATTGTAACAAAAGATTAAATAATAATAAAAGTTACACAACTATAGTTTTACATGACATCTTTTAAAGAGCATATATGATACAGGCATGTATAGCTCTATATGTACGCAAAAACACACTTTTGGTTTTCAGTGAAATCTAGTGATGCAGCCAATCAAGTGAAGCAGATGTAAATTGGAAAACACAGTTGTCATTAAAGTAGACTCTTTACCTCAGTCACACTAATGTACATTCTGTTTCTGCTGCCTGGTGTTCAGCTTTCTCCTTCAGTGCCCCTTTGCCACAGCATCATTTACTTTCTCACTTGTGTGATCTCAAATGGTTTCTGTGCATCGCATTTCAAACAAGGAGCCAAGAACTCAAATGTTGAGAGCCACTAAGGCCAACTCTTTCTAGGATACAGGTAACCTTTGCTATGTAATTTTAATAGCTATTATATTGATGTATGCCTCTACTTGCGATTTTCCTCTAAATCTACTTTAAATTGTGTAGAGCTTCAAAAAACTTTTCATTTACCTAAATTAGGAGGTGAGACAGTATTTGCTCTCCCCATAATTCTCTCTTCAAAATGACAGGAATAAGGCAGATAATAGATGAATGACTAAAGCCACCCACTCTTATCTGATTGGTCCTCTGACTTTCTTAGTTCTCATCCTGTCAGAAATGTCCCGACTTGCAGTATGTCCTGTGCTACACACAGATAGAATCCTTTTATCAATCTAATGGAAACAGCTGTTCCTCTAAGCTGGGCTGCCCATCACTTCAGCATTTCTACTCTTATTATTTGCCCGAGGGTGCCTCTCTGTTGCTTATCTCCTGCCCACAGTCATAACCACTGCCTGGTAGAGGGATAGAACTACTGGGTCTAATAAAACAAGGCTCCCGTTGCAAATCATGACATCACAACAAAGAGTAGAGAAAGAAAGAGATGTACCCGCAGGAAGGAGAGGTCCCGGTTGTGCTCGATGCTGGTGATCTCCAGGTTGCCCATGACTACCTCGCAGTTTTCATAGTATTTGCGCAAGGCTCGGTATTGCTGTTCCAGGTCAGAGAGCGAGCTCAGTTTGTTCTCTGTTCCTGCGCACACTGAAAAGACAAAGACATACCTTAAATTATATAACATGCAGATGACTATCTTAAACAAAACAGATTACTATATGGTTTATCCCAATTCATCAAGTTATTCAAATGTGATCAAGGGTCTTAGACCACTATCACTTGAGAGATAAATTATCTCAACTTTTTATTATTTAATCACACATGCCAAGCAAAGAGAACAAAGAGTGGGTCCCATGGGAATTTCTTAATTTGTCTTTTAAGAAGATAAATTTTAAATACATTTACTGTGCTTGTACAAAAGAATGTAAAAGATGATTTAATTCCATCTAAACATATTTTTATTTGGAATTTATAGTTTACCCTATTTGCTGATAAAGTAATTATCTCCATGTAAATAAGACTGAATGATAAGAGCAACAACATTTAAAAATCATTTGTTATCTACCATAAAATAAGCCATTCTAGCACATCATGTAAGTGACATACATATGCACATGAAGCCCAACCTTAATAATACCATCTTTAAAATGTGTTAAGTGCCTTGATTTAAAATATTTTTAAAAGTATACCACAAATAAATATGTATCAAAATGCTGATATTAACAGAGTCATTCACATGCATATTCATGAGTGTTCAAAAGAATATGGTCTGCTGGTAAATATAATAATATTCCACATTTGATCAGTGTGTTATGTTTTTGTTCATATGTAAGTCCATAAGGTCCACATAGAAATGCCTGTTTTGTGTGTGTACTAGTACCTATTTTGTCTTCCACACTCAATTTTTAATATTATTTTTCAATAATACAGTACATAAATACAGTATATAAACATATCTGTACACAAATATGTTCTGGAGTGCTGAAAGAAATGCAAGTGTGAAGGCCAGATATAATGATGCTTTTTGTTATTACTGAGAATTTCATATATGTATACTATGTAATATATTTAATAGTATCATATCCGTACCCTATTTCCCATCTCAAGAACCACTGTATCTCCCATAACAAGACTTCATCCCAAATTCATACACTCTCTTTAATGTTGTTTTTTGTAGCCTTGGCATAGTTTTATTGTCACACCCTGGAGCATGGGAAACCTACAAGTGAAAATACCCTCAAATAAAAATGATTATCATTTCCTAATAGTTATGAACTTCCAGTAGTTCCTCAGTAAAGAGTGGTCCTGGAGATCATGTCTCTTATCAATGTTGGCTATTCTATATTGGCTGCCTTTGTCTTGTACAAGCAACTCCAGGTTATATGAGTTCATGAGTGTGCCAGTCATGTCAAGTCTGGAAGCATGTATTTCACGGTACTCCTTCCCCCATTTCCAAGCTCTTACATCCTATTGCTCTCCTCCACTGTGTCTGCTAAACCTTGGTGAGAGTGAGGGGTAGGGTTGTAGAAACATCCCATTCTGAGCTGAGCATGCAATTATCCTAAGCACTTTACAAATTAAACATAAACTACTAGATGGGCAATATTTTAGTTCTATTTTTATTTAAGAGAAAGTACATGGGGGTGCCAAGGAAGGGGTCTAGAAAAAGAGTGTTGTTTCTCCTGGAACTGATGTTACAACGCAAGCGGCCCCAAATGTGTCATGGGAACTGACCCCAAATTCTCTGCAAAAATGCCTAGAGCTGTAACTGCTGAGCCATTCTTAGGCCAAGAAGGCTGTATATTTAGTCATGATCTGGACCTTCAAAAAGAAGGTCTTATCCTAAAGATTGATGAGCATTGAGGTACAGGAGGAAGGATTTCAAACAACTGTGATTTACATCACTAGATTATCATTGACATAAAAGATGCTTGTGTTGGTCCCCAAGGATAAATATTATACATAGAGAGGATTAAAATTGGGTTTTTTTATATAAATCATAAAGAATTTTAACTACTTTGCCTGGTTATTGGCCTAGAAATGTTCTAGACAAAATGGGTCACTTTTGATCAATTGAACACTTTGCTGGTTCTGTAGAGAATCTCCTCTTTGAAAAACTAACAAGTTTATACAACAAATGAATTTCTGTTGATAAGTAATATTTAATACAAGTAGAAGAGAGAACACAGTTTATTCAGACAGAAAATCCTTATTGGTCAAGATCAAAGCTAGACATTTACATTGCATTATACATTTGAAGTTCATCGAGAATGCCCTTAGTCCATGATCTCTGTTTTATTGCTACCAGCAAATTTAAAAATAAATTATAAAATTAAAAATGTCTGCTGAGGAAAAGCACTTGCCTGTTTATGAAATGTAGATTTTAATTATTTTAAATATAAATGAGAATAAAGTTCGATTTTAAATCACCATGTTACTATCAAATGAAAAGTCTTCCTAAATATTTAGTGCACTCTGACCTTTGGTGTAAAATGTTAATAATAGCACTCTTGTTTTTTACTCTGATTACAATGCCTAATGATTGTTGCATCATCTCTTTTTTCTCATTAGAAAAAAAAAATAAATATCCAGCATGAAAAAGTCATTGAACTTGGATAGTTTTAAATTCATGTCTTAGTTAGAGTTACGATTGCTATGATGAAACATCATGACCAAAATGAATTGTGGGGCAGAAAGGGATTCATCAAAATATCAGGACAGGAATTCAAGCAGGGCAAGAAACTGGAGGCAAGAGCTGATGCAGAAGCCACTGCGCTCTCTACAGGTTGGCTAATCCTTACTTACTCAGCATGCTTCCTTATAGAACTCAGTACTGCAGCCCAGGAATGGCACCACTAACAATAGCTAACTAGCAACAATGTTCTAAAGGCCTGCCTAGAGTCAGACACTATGGAGGCACTTTAACTGAAGCTGACATCTCTCATATGACTATAGCTTGTGTCAGGTTGCCATAAAACAAGCCGGTACATTCTAAGCTTGTCGGAGATTATCATAAAAATATTCTGAAGAGTTTAAAATTTCATTTTTGTTAAAGCTTCTCATAATGGTCATACATGATTTCATGTAACATTATGATCCCTGCATGATATGGACAACATGCTATCAAGCTTTTGAAGGTAATAAAAACATGTGTCAATTCCCCCATCAATTAACCTTTTAGGTGAACTATTTATAGCAATATCACTCTTCTCTTGATCTAACTTTTCTATTATTCTCATGGGAATCAACATTATCATTACAGCCACATATTCTATATACATAATTATTACAAATCAATGAGGTAACTAGCCACATAAACAACCTACAACCCTCACACACACGAGAACTAACCCTCATAACCCTCCATATTATCCCACTTATCTTATTAACTATTAACCCTAAAGTGATCATATATATATATATATATATATACATATATATATATATGATAAATTATCTTTAAGGCTATATAGAGGTAGCTCAGCAGTTAAGAGCATTCACTGTCCTGTCAGAAGACCAAGGTTCAATTCCCAGAACCCATATATTGGTTTAGCTCTAACTCAAGTTCTAGGAGGATTTTATACCATCTTGTGGCATCTGTTGATATCTTCACCCACATGGTACACTTACATAAATGCAGGCAGAACACTCACACATATAAAATAAAAATAATTACAACTTTTAAAAAATTTATCTTCAAATGATATCCATATAGATGATTTTAAAATATACACAAAACTATCTTAAAGTCCCCTCACATATAAATTAAGTTTCAACTATTCTATAAAGATCACTTGTGTTAGGTACATACATTATTCAAATACAGTTACAATAAATATGTTTAGAAATAATTCTGAAAGAAATGATGACATTCCAATAAACATAAAGTCACATTCATCACAATACTTTACTCCAGACACTCTCTCACCTGAAACTTCCTACTATATACTGTTCAATTAAGGAAATGTTTTTATCACAGTAAGGCTTTTCTTTATATTTAGCTTTGATCTGAACTGAGTAAAATCAATACTATATCAAGTATAGCTTTTATCTTGAAAGACAGACTTGGTTTTTAAGGAATTAGTTCAGATGGAAGCATAAAAATCATTTGGAGTTCTCTTCATGAAGCTCTTATTGAATGCCTCACAACTTTCATTTGTCAATCGATTTTACAATCAGGCAATGTATACAAGACAATGCTTAAGCCATCAAGTCTCATTGATTTCACAAAGCTGTTTATCAAAGCAGAATTGAAAAATATTCTTCAGCAGCTCAAACAAGTTTAACAACATCCAACCCCCTTTGCCAACACCATTATAAAGTCTTTGAATGATAAACTCACAACACTTTAAGCTTCAGAAATCCTAAATTTATCTATACTTCCCAGAGTGTCATTCCATGTAACTGCAGGTGTCAAAATCTATATGAGTACCTAATACAATTGCCAAATATTTTATTTAGCATTCATTCAATTACAAATGTGGCTAAATCTTTGGTCATAAGGTTCTCTAAATTGAAAGCTTGTATCTGACATAATCTCTATTCAGTAAAATGGCTTGAAATTAAAAGTTTGTGATGATTTAAAAATTTGGCTAACAAAATTATTCTTATGATTCCTGGAAGGTGGAAGGTGGGACAAAATAATGAAATAAAATGTTGTCAATATGCATAATAAAATAACTCAATTTGTGACTTTATGCTTATTATGACAATGATCTCAGAACTATGTCAGTTTGCAAAAGAAGCAACCTAAAAGAAAAATCAAAAGAATTTAAATAAAAACAATTAAATGTCATATCAAACGCTTTTGATGATAAAGCAGTTAGATCAATAATTATTCAACACTTTGCCTAGAAACATAATATCAACTACTGAAATTGTCTAAGGTATTCTGTAAACACTCATGCCCTTGTGAAAGCACATAAGAAAAAATACATATATGCTGTGCATATGCTACATGTCCATAATCTGAAAAATATAGGCATGTGAATGTTTAAACATGGATTCCAATATGCAAAAATGATTTTTAAAATATCCTTTTTCCCTGAGGGATTAGGGTTCCACCTCAGTTTGTGGAGTGCTTACTTAGCATTAAAAAAAAATCCCTGGATTTGATCCCAGAACTACAGAAGGCTAGGTTTCACAAC